GTCCGCCTTCACCCCGTCCGCCTTCACCCCGTCCGCCCGTTCACCCTCCGTCCCCGTCCGCCTTCACCCGTCGCCTTCACCCCGTCCGCCTTCACCCCGTCCGCCTTCACCCTGTCCGCCTTCACCCTGTCCGCCTTCACCCCGTCCCCCTTCACTCTGTCCGCCTTCACCACTCTCCACTCCTTCCTGTCCCGTCCCATCCCATACCGCTCCGCTTATTTCACGGCGTTTCGCCCTTTCCTGCTACGGCCCATCTTGTCCCCAGCCCGGACAACCTCCCCATCTGTACCACCCTTACCCAGTGCTTGCTGCACCTCGATCTATCCCGCCCCACCTCGCCCCGCTTACTCCTAACCCCTTTGGATTACCCCGCGTCCCTCTGCGCTGTCCCGTTACTCCTTGCTATCCTATCCACCCCACACTGCCCCACTCAGCCTGTCGCCTCCCCGCTACTCTCTATTCCTGGCATTCTTCAACTCGTACCACCAGTCCTCTCCCACCCCGCGCCTTCAGCCTCCATCTCCAGGCGCTCCGCGATATTTTACTTCCCACTGTCTCCACCCCGCTCGCCTGGCGCCCCCTGCCTTCGGGCGCCACGCGATATTTCACAACCCTCTCCTTCCCTCCAGCGGGGCGGCTCCGCCGCTCTCCGCCCAGGCGCGCGCGGCTTGGCACCCGCTTTGTTGACGCTCTAAGTCATCTCGAGCGCGTCGCCCGGGCGCACATTCGTCTTCGATAAGATCGCCTGGCGGCGCTCCCCCCACCCCCACCTCACCCCGCCGTGTCGTTCCTGCTCTCCTGCGACGAGAGAAAAAGCGCGCCCGGGCGCAGGTGGATGTCGCCCGGCGGTGGTCGAAGCCCCGGCCCGCTAGTTCCGGGATCGGCGTCTTGGCGGTCGGGTATGGAGCGCGATCGTAATGAATGGGGGCGACGGGTTTAATGCCCGTCGTTGCGCGTTGATCCGCGCGGCGCGGCGCGGCGCGGCCTACCGGCAGGTGGTGGCGCGTACGCCCGGCCCGGCGGGCCCGCGCACCCGGCAGCTGCCGCGCGTGCGTGTGTGGTCTCCGAGCGGCCCGCTGCGGCCGGGGCCGGACAACTGCGCGAGCGGTCGCGGACTCGAGGCAATTGGAGACGTTTCACAGAAAGCGCATACACGGATGCGCGGCCGCTGGACACATGCGAGTTCCAGTGTAATTACCAGAGGTGGGTTGCGGGCTGGTACAAAGAAGTTGGAGGTGCGGGGACATGTACAGAGCGGTCGAGTTTAATGTGTTTGATGATTAAAAGTCGTCGATAAAAATTCCAAATAATCGCTTCCAGATGGCTCCAACGTAGTGTAGTTTGTGCGCTCGGTAATGGGCGCATGTTACGTACAGCAAAATGAATACAGGTGTTAACGGGTTAAAAGAGTTGTATTGGGAGCAGATATAGGAAAGTGTCGGGGTGGTAGGGACATTTTTCTTGGAGTGGTCAAATTGCATGTGTTTATTGATTGAAATTCTACTTAATTTCCAGTAAGGTAGTCTAATTAATACTCTAGTCGTATTCCCACTTACATGAACATTAACTGCTTTCGAAGTAAACATTTATGTAATTATGTCCATTTGCACTAAATTTTGCTAAAACAATTTGAATCTTTTCTCCTCTCAGAAACTATTGACATTTGAATTTCAATTTTCCCTTTCAAAAATATTTCTTTTCTTCAGTTTAATTTTCAATAAATCGTATGTATATTGTAGCCCCTAATACATAAATTGAAGTATAACATTGAACTTCCTTCTCTTATTTCATGTTTTAAAGTTCATGCTTTAATGAGCATTATTCTCCAAGGTTCCAACAAGCTCACATAAAAATATCATATTTTTGACAGTAAGTTGTATAAAAATACGTTTTCTTTTTGGAGGGATAGAGGATACTTGTAAGTGTGGCAAACGCTGAGTAATAAATAATTTTGTAAATATCATTTTTTTTAAATTTTCAGAACTTTTAAAATTCTTAAAACATTTTACGCAATTTTTATGTTGATTTTTTAAATTACGAATTATAATTCAAAATAAAAGGTTCATCTCATGTTTATAATTGTTACAAGTTTTTACAAAGAAGGGCACAGATAAATTTTACAAAAATATCTTTTGAATGTTCTCTAACTTCAGTTATTATTCATTCGTTTGAAATTGATTGAACAGTGAGAAGTATCTAATAATATAGTATATATTTATACACATTTATAATATATCCAAAAGTTTTACGATGTTTTTTATCCTCAAGAGTTATCGGAAATATTGATATTATAAATGTTTTTTGATGATGTTGACTATCTTTCGCCATAAATATGACAAAAGTTTACGTCCCCCGCATTGTTGGTAACATAACTAATTTTTAACATTCTTTACTTGGCCTACCAAATTTCGTGATATTTTCATAATGCAATGATAGATATTAGACTAATTCTCACTTTCTATGTGAGAAGTAGCATCTGTGTTACTTTCTGAAAACACACACACACACACAGTTACTTAACTGTTCACAGAGCACTCGTATATTTCTTTCCCATCGACGAGTCCTTTCACAGAAGACCCCGGTTTCTTGAGCCTTTTGGGTGCGAGGACGAGCAAGCCGCCTATTGTCTGCGCTCGGGGCGGCCCCAGAAGTGGCACGGGGGCGCGTGCAGCTCTTCGCCGAGATTCTCCCCCTACACAGGGGAGCCCACTGGGCGCGCGTGGGAACTCGCATATCGTTTTCGTTCGCTAAATTTCAGGCCCTCTTGTTTCCGTTAATTAATATCGGACAATTTGCGAACACCGAGCGGAACGTAACCTTGGCAACCAATGCAATTACCTAAGATATAAAAAAAATATTGAAATGAGTGAAACAGCGGCCGACGAAAAAAAGAAGGGGATTGAAAGATTACAATTCATGAATTTTATCGAGGTTCCGTAATTGCGATTAAATTTTGATTTGTTAACATTACAGTTGGTAATCACATTCAAAGGCGATGGAGGAATTTGTTGCAGGCTCCGAGCCATATTTTTAGCGGGGTCGGTCGCCCAGGACGCAATCGCGCTGGTTTATTGGCTTTAATTAAACGTGGATCGCCGTCCGCCGCGCCGCGGCGCGGCGTGTCTGTCCCAGCGCGAGGGCGCGCGCCGTGCCGGGGGATGTTGTGGTGGTGGTGGTGGCGGCGGGGCTGCCCGTGGCACGTGGCGCGAGCAGTTCGCGCACTACCGCCCTCTCTGTTTGCCTCAAGCCCGCACTTGGCGTCGTTGGTTCCATTGGAATTGAGCGGGTCTACGTTGGTGGGTTTGGTGGCGTTAACTCAGCAATTGAGGGGGGGTGTTCCTTTTTCTTCGTTTGAAATAAAAGTGAAAAGGGCGTAACTGAATTGTCAATTAGTTTTGAATTGTTTGTCCTCCTTAATTTTGAGTGTGGTAAAGGATTAGGTTTCTCAATTGATTTGCAGAGCAAGTTGGAGATATTATTTCAGAGAAAGAATATTGTTTCTAGCTTTTAACAGATTTGAATGTTTTGGGATGTGAAATGACAGAGTTACAATAAATCATTTAGACTGTGTTGACACAGTCCTCATGTTTATGAACTAATCTTGTCGACATATAAATGAATCCCAGCTGTAGCATCTTTTAACTCAGATGAGAAAGGATGTAATTGCAATTAATACTTTTCTTCTGTATTCGCTTCCTACGAGTATTTAACTATCCATACTTTAATTCGTTTGCCTAATCTCGTTGCAAAATAATTATTAATTAATAGTTTTCTGAGATTAAGGTATATTTGGTGATTTGAATGTAGCGTTGTCTACTTTTAAACAAATATATTATCATCGCACAACTGAAATTGCGTCAAATTAGTAAGCAAATTTTGTACTTTAAGGCTCAAATTATATCCTATGCTACACGACACTTCATACCAGCTGATACAGTTGCTTATCATGTACATTCCTAATTTGCATCTTTAATAACTTCGTTACAGGGAAATACAATACTTGAAAATGAAAATATGTAAATGCATATTAACAATATGTCGCGCACGCTACAGAAACACTACGTCTTCACCACTACGTTAGATTTTACTGGACTGGATTCGCAAACTGACATGGAAATGTTGAAGAGGTTCGTCACAGCTCTGTTGTGTAATATGGTTCCGTACGTCGAAAATCAATGATTTTTTTCTTTCTTTTTATTTATTTGAATGTTGTAATTTTCTAAATCATATAAGCAAGCGTCATTTCGCAAGACTTGTCAACTTTGTTCCTTCTTTTCGCAATTTCAAAGTTTTGTGGCGCAGTGTTTTTTGGAATCGGAAATTATTATTAAATTTTTGTTCGTGATATTATGTTGTAAATAGTAATAATAACAATAATAATAACAATAACAATAGAAGTTATTTTTGAAACGCCATTGAGCTAGTCTTTCTTAATTACAAATGAGTTAATTTAAATCATCATGACACATTTCCATTTTTTGCCATATTACTGCAAATCTTAAAATGTTTTAATTAGTGAGTAATGAGGGGAAGTGAGGGAAAATAAATGAGTTTTGAAAATAATGACCGAAAATAAATACCAAAACGTAGTGCATTTATGAAAATCGATCATGTAAATGGAGGGAGCCTAGGAGCACACACAGTTTGATTACTAGAGCCCCTTCCCCCCGCGCGTCCGGCCTTCTGCCGCCGCCGCCCCCGGCAGCAGGTGGAGGCCGTCGCTCCGTCCAGGTGCGTCGGCACGCGGCGCAGCTTTGTTAATCGAACGCGCGCGCGACGCGGGCGGCGGCGGCGGCGGCGGTGGGCGCCGGGGCCGCGCTCGCGGGGGTTGCTTAGGAGGGCGGCGGCGGAGGCGACGGCAGCTGTCGCGGGGGCGCAGCGCGCGATTGGCCGGCGGCGCGCGCCGCGGGGCGGGCCGGGCGGGGCGCGGCGCGCCGCCATTGCTCGCGCGCGGCGCCCGCCGGCCGGGTATCTTGCGCGGCCGCACCGGCCGCCGCTTCAGTTGTCGGCGAGCGGGCGACGGCGAGCGTCGTCGTCGTCCGGAGGAGAGGAGAGATAGGCGAGCGCGAAGGAGCGGGCGAGCGACGCGAAGCGGTTGCCGGTTGGATACGCGAACGGAGGGCCCGGTGCAGCGGAGGCGGGAGCGCGCGGCGGTCGGCGTGGAGTTGTGGTGGACGCCCTCCTGCCCCGGCGGCGCTCCGTCGCGCCCCGTCGCGAGTGTCTCTGTGCCGTGAGTGCGCGCGCGCCCTCGATGGGGGTGTGCGCCGCGACGTCCGCCGCCAGCACGACCTCCCAAGGACCCCTGGCCGTCAACGACTTCCTCCGAGGAAAGATGAAGGTGCTCAAGAAGTTCAAAAAGAAGATGGGATTAGGTTCGTATACCCATTTTGTTTATTACTCGTATTTGTTTTTTTCTGTTATTCGTTTTGCAGAGGTGTTCTACTTTTTATTGAAGTAACTTCCTCTCGGTGGCAGCCTTTCGAGAAGATTGCTCAGTGTTAATTCGTAATTTGAAACGTTGGGACGACAGTTTCTCTTGTGCGATATTGTTTAAGTTTTCCGCTGTGGCGTGTGACTGGTATATCCAATGGAGCGCGTGTGTCATGTTATGAAGTAGATATGTTTACACGTTTATCGCTCTGAGCGTTGTTTGATCAGCTTCGTCTTCGATCGTGTGATGTTGGGCGGTACCGAAGCTACCGCTGTAATTTAGCCCCGAGTCGCTGTTGTGAGCTTTCCCTTACATTGTGCAATCTGGGCGTGTGCTCCTACGGACCCTATACGCCCGCGCTGGAAGGGATTGTAGGTTAGCACCTCGTCTGCGAGGATTCGCCGGCGGGTCAGAGGTCGACCGCGTCACGCTTTTGCCTTGAAGCCTCCGGAATGTGAATGCAGTGAGAGGCGGTGGATGTCGGTGCGCTCGGAATAGTTGTGAATAAGCCGGCGGTGAGGGATTGCGCAGGCGGCTAGCGGCGAGGCCCGCGCGTTCGGCGGAGTGATGACTCGAAGGACGTGCGCGCCGGCGCGTGCGATGCCGGCGGCGTCCGGAAGCGGAGGTGAATGCCCATGGAACAAACCGCGTTACGTCAGGCCTTTGTCGAGCGCCTAGACACGATCGGCTTGTGGGGCCGTGATTTCATTTCGGAGCCCAAGTGTGGTGGATAGAAAAAAGATTTCTCGTCTGAGAGAGAACTTCATTTTTAGAGAATGAATTTTTATAGAAACATTTTGTACAACAAATTTCCAGGAGAATATTTAGTATTTTCAAAACATTCACAGAGGATTGGATCTAAATTAAGTGCACTTTATGTATTGTTACTCATGTGTTGGACATTCGTGATCCAGACCGGAATAATCAAATCCATCGTCCAGCAAAGCATGAACATTGCTCCCCATTCTGGCATGAATGTGTAATCTCACGCATGAAACAAGTCCGCGACCTCCCCTTTCGAGTGGTCGGGCATCCATGTTCCCTCGCTGCCATTCCGCGGTCGCGCGCATTCCGTGAATAAGTCCCTTCAGGGGAGCTGCAATGCCTCGCCGTCGTCGTCGCCGCTGACGAACGCCCAGACGTCGGGCGCTGGGAGTCCCGCAAGAAGCAGCGTGGAGACGTCGCCGCCGCCTGTGCCGCCCCCGCGGTCCGACGCCGCCCCGCGACGTCGCAGCCGCGCCCCGGTGGTTCCCTGCGCGCCCCTTCGTGCGTGCGCCCCCGCGCCGTCGCCCGGCTTTCGCCCTCCCCGCCAGCCCCCCCGCCGCCAACCCCAACCTCCCCTTTGTTTATAATGCGGCTTTGGTTCCCAGGGCTCGTCCGCTGCCCCCTAACTCGCTATTCCTCCCTCCCGGAGGAAGCGTGGAGATTCCCTCGGCGGGAGACGAGGAGCAGTCGTCTGTGCGCGGGGTGAAACTGTACACCTCCGCCGCGGATGGGGGTTTGCCCGTGTACATACACCTTGTTTCGTTGGCGGGAACATCGTGCCAACATGCGTGCTGTGGAACGTAAATGGAATAATCGATAGAGGTGGATTCTCGACACACGGTGGCAGGGTTTGTGGATATCTGCATTGCACACGGTGGGGAGTAGATTTGTCTTGGCGTGACGACGTACGTCGTAATAGAGGTTGGAGTGTACGAGGACGTGGTACGGTCAGTGGGGCCTTGTTTACGACGCCTGGAACATTTATATGGTCAAAAAAGAAAGGGTTGCCTACACTGAGGTGGCAGTTGCCTCACAATGTGGGAACCATTCAGTTTATGTTCGCGGACGGAGAAAATCCCCGAACCCCAACTAAAGAAAAACCAAAAATCTTTGTTTTGTAATATGTAATAAATCTTACAATACGCTTCGGGGAATAGCAATATTTATTACGCCTTCAAACGCCAGCTTCATAGTGTTCATATTCGCGCTTTATAGCGAAATAGCAGCCAGACGAATTGATTTTATGATTAAGTGAAAATTTGCGTGATCATTCCATTCAGAATTGGATAGGGTAGGAGAATGGAGCCCGATACAAAATATGCATGTTCAAACGCTGTGCAAACCGAGGCTTCGTTATCCTCGATCAATGCGGTGATCGATCTCGCAATGCGCGATGGAGAGGGGAGCTTCTCGCGAGACACGGCCCCCCCGTCTTCAAAGCAGCAAACAGCAGCTGCTGGCCGCGGACTAAGGGCCGGCTGAGGCAAGGAACCGTGGCTCGGCCGGCTGCCGACGCAACGGAAGCGCGGGCGGCGGGGGCGCGGCGGCTGAATGGAGTGTTTTGCAATCACGTGATCCGGTCTTCCGGGCGCTTTTCCCGGCCTCCCTTATCCGCCGCCCGCACTCGGTACCCACCGTCCATCGGAATTCAACCTCGCTCCCCTCTTTACTTTCTACTCCCAGCTTTCGTTTTTCCTCGCATCCGCAGTCCTTGATAAGAACCTTGCACGTGCGATCATTTGTTATTATTTTTGTGTTGTTTCGTGAGAGATTCCGCTCTTGTACTCACGCGTGTATCGAATCGCATCCTCCTGTTACGTGGGCGCGCGGGCGTTTGCATAACTCGGGGCGCGCGCGAGGACGGGCGGAGCGTTTCTTGTTTAGCCTGTAGCTTTATGTAACGGCGCTGCGGGCGACCCAGGTGGGTGCGTGGGAGTGGAGTGATGTGCGCGGCGGGGCGGTTTGGGGAACGGGGTCGTCGGCGGCGGCGACCGGCCCCGGTGGGTCACGTTGCCCACTTCGCTATGAGAGTGTGTACGTGCGTCTCGAGATGTAGAGGGTTTTCGATCCTGGGAAATAAGAATTAGAATTGGGTAACTTGCTTGACGTAGTTTGCGGATGCGGATACTTTGGGAAAGCCCGCTGCGGAGAATCTGGCGAGTTGAAATTACACAATCGAACTGTCCTTCAGATGAAACGCACATCTATGTAAATATGGTTGACACGAGCAAAGACTTCGATATTCACCGACCCGGAATAGTCTCTCGCATAAGAGTGTAGGAATACAACGCAAATATTTCAAAGCGTCTTCTGAGCCGGTCGCCGTTCACGCGCGTCCAGCCCGGTGTGTAGAGCGGCTGGGCCTGAGAAGCGCGCTTATCGGGCGGCGGGGCCTGTCCTTGCAGGAGCTTATCGGCGCACCGCCGCCGCTGCCGGCGTCGCGACGCTGGCCGAGGGCGCCGCCGCGGCGATTGAGGCGGCGGATGACGCCGGCGGCAGCGCAAGGTGACCTCTCCCCCCTCCCCTAGGTTTTATCTCTCGCAGAGCGTAATGAATGGAGGAGAAAAGCTCACGCGCATTGACGGGCGTTGCTGCAGTGTTAACGCGACCACTGATAAGCTTCGTGATATTAAAGCTGTCATGTTTGGCGGTTCGTTTAATACTTTTGGCTCTCTATTTTTTTTATTTTTAAAGATCTATGGTTGTTTAAGATTATGAGAGTAAACTGAAATTACTGTTGAATTGTTTGTTCTCGTGATAAAGAGGTCCAACTTGTTTCTAAAAGACGTGCGGGCCATTTTGTCATCTGTTGAGTGAAAAAGTTAAATGCGCTCACTTCTATTTGAAGTCCAAATAGGTTGACGCTTTTCAGGATGTAATTAATGCTCGATAAATAATTAAAATTATCTGTTGGGGTCTGTTCAACTTGAATGACGTACACTTGTAATGGTATTCTTGGTACGTAATTTCACACATTGCGAAACCCCGATTATTACTGCATTGCCGCACGTAATCACAGCAGTCGTGACCAGTTGTTCTTTTCTCGGAGCATCAGGCGATCAATATTTGGGGTGTGCGATTCGAAAGCCTGTTCTGTGAATTCAATTAATCAATGCTTCCCTGTCCGACTGTCTGGCGGGAAGGAGGTTCAAAACTCGGAAACTCGAATCGACAACCCATTAATTTCTCGGAAACAAAACTTCTCCGGGCAAACTAGCGGAGCGTTCACGCCGTTCCGGAGCGATGAATTTCCATGAAATGGACACGCCATACTCTTTGGGGAAAAACCTTTAATTAATGCTGGTAAGCTGGTAATAAATAGTTATTTTAACTGTCTATATCGAAAATGTTGCTATTTCCGTATTTTTGGTCTGGGCAATTTTGTACAGCGCAAGCTTCTAGTAGAAGCTGGCCTTACGGCGAAACTGTTTCTATCCAAGCTTCCCATTTCGTATTATATTTCACTCTATATTTAATTCTAATATTGATTCAGGGCAATATGAGGAATGAGAATATCGTTTCGGAGTTTCAAAATTAGAATATTTACCTTCAAAAATCCGTACATGGCTGTTCTATATTGAACTCTACGATAACTTTCTAGACAAGTCTTAGTTTCCTCTCCCCGCATGCTTTGAGCTCAGTTCGAGCAAAACAATCTCTCGTCCTCGGGGCGACGAGGCAGCTGAACTCTGCGCGCGCCTGTAATTTAAAAACGCCCACGTCGAGCAGCGCTCGGGCGGCGACAGCGGCGGTGGGCGTCGCGGCGCGAGCCCCACGCGTCGACGCCCGCGCCAGGAATAGCCGCCCGCGGGCGCCAGACTGCAGCGGCGGCGGTGGGCGTGGCGCAGAGGGCGCGGCGCGGCTGTGCGCGCGCGCACTCCGGGAGCCCGCGCCCTGTTTTAAGAGGCAGCGGAGGAGGTGGCGCAGCCCGCTGCCGCGTGTTTTGACGCAGAGTCAAGGCTCCCCCCCCCCCCCCCCCCGAGATACGATCAAACGAACTATGCGCGCGTTGGCGGCTCGCTAAAACAGCTTTCGTGAGACCCCGAGTGAAGCCTGCTCCGTCGAAAGCTGGATGTGGGGGCGCTTTGAGACTGCTCCCTGTGTTTGTTAGTGATGTTTCAAGGATTGGGAATTCGTAAAGAATTCGAAGGATTGTTAACACGTTATAATTGTAGT